GTGGGCTTCGTGGGGCTGGACCCCGGCGCGCCCGACTCCAGCCGGGACGGGGCGCTGCTGATCGCCGGCTCGGACAGCGCCAAGCGCGGCAGCATCCTCAGCAAGCCCCGCGCGGGCGGCGCGGGCGCGGGGAAGCCCCCCAAGCGCAACGCCTTCTACCGCAAGCTCCAGAATTTCCTCTACAACGTGCTGGAGAGGCCGCGCGGCTGGGCGTTCATCTACCACGCATACGTGTGAGTCCCGCGCCCGCGCCCGCGCCCTTCTGCCGCGCAGGGCGCCCCGCTTGACTCCTCGCCAGCTGCCCGCGCGACCCCCGGCCCCTGTGCGGTGCCCCTTCATGCCAGCTCGCGTTCCCGCGTGGCGGCGGTCGCTGGCGGTTAACCCGGGTTTAATCCGGCGTGGCCTTGTCGGGGGTGAGGGTGGGACCAGCCATCCAGGCCGTTCTGGCAGTCGAGGGGAGTCCTTGCGGGCGGCCCCCCAGGGACGTCGGCCGTGCAAGAAGCAAGCGCCCCGGGAGGCGAGGGTGTCTCCGGTGGGTTTGGAGCTAGGATCGGCTTGCTTTGGAGGGGCAAGCACCCAGCAGCTTGGGAAACCAGGCCGGCGTTTTGTGAGCAAGCCCTGCAGATGTGCATCCGGGCCGGCCCTTGCGTTTTACACGCCCGTTGACCGTGGCAGGTGTTGCATACCCCACAGATGGTGCAGGCACAGGCCGGATGCTGCATGAGAGGCTATAGCAGATTATTAGTGGCATCCCTACAGGCTGAATCAGCGTGGCGCTTCGGACTCGAGAGGGGCAGGGGTTGGGGCGTGGAGTGGGAGGAAAGCAAGATGGCACACGGTAGCATAAACCATGGGCTTGTGTAGCACAAAGGGAGACAAAGCACTCTTACTGCCTGACCCGTGTGACTCACTCAGAGATTCATCCTGCATCAGGGCCCTCATAAACAAGGCCACGTACCGACACTGACTGCCCGCAGGAAAGCCGTGGCGTCGCCCCAGGTACATGCCAGTACCGACGGTGTCACCCCGCTCCGGGATGTGCCTTCCCCGGGTGCAATCCCCACTCGTGCAAAGGACCACACCTGCATGCCTTGCACGGGGTTAAGTGATGCTGGGCCTTTGGACCTGGAGGTCTGAATTCCCCATTGCTATGAAAACAGAGGCACATTTCCCACCCTGACCCTTTCCCCTTGCTTTCAGGAACACTTCCAGGCTGCTCCAAATCAAGAAGCAGCTGTAAAATCCCGCCCCCCCCTCAGTTTGACAGAAAACTGCTTCCTTGCTTTGCCTGCAAGCTGAGATCAAAGACATGCAGAGATTTACCGTATTCAGGCAGGATTAGTAACCTACGTGCCATGCAGCTTCAGAGCAAGAAACACTTGTCTTAGCTGGGACTCGAGTCCTTTGGATCATGGAGGCAGCAGATTTAGCCCTGGCCAGTTACTTATTCCTTATCCAAAGAGGCAGGAATGCAGGAATCACCTGGGTTAAATTTCTGCACACGCTGTGCCACGTCTGTGCATCAGTTCATCTCCCTTCGGTTTTATGTAGATTGCTCTACTCTGCGGAGGGCCCCAGTCGAGTGGGCGCTGCATTGTGTCAGGCGCTGTCTGTGCTTGCAGCTCTCTTACACTGGAGAGGTTTTAATCCAAGTTGATAAGAGAGACAAAGGATGAGAGGAGAAATAGAGGCATGGGGAAGTGAAGCGACTTGCCAGGGTGCCAGAGTAGATGACTGGCAGAGTGGGGAGCAGAACCCATGTCTCCCCCACCCCAAAAAGCCCCTTAACCACTAGGTAGTATCTTGAAGAGGACTTATACGACCAGTCCTTTTGCACAGGAGCAAATGTCATCTGTGCTGCACATATGCAGTGCTTCCCACCAGGGCGGTGAAGCTCTGGGGAGCTTCCCCATGTCATGGCACAGATGGCACGAGCTTCACGTGCTGAAACAAAGGCAGGTGCGTTTGCTTCGGTGAGTAGACACTCCAGCAACATCTGCTCACGTCTGAATGTCAAAACACACCTAACAGAGTCCCATCAACACCTGCCGGGGGCATGGCTTCTCTTCCAGCCTGGGACAATTTCGGGAAGAGGCAGCTGGATGCTGGTGCAGATGCACCTCTTGCATTTGCAGCCAGCGTACGCTCCTGAACTTTAAAATCCACGTGCCGGCTCCATTCATTTCCATGCGCCTGTGTCAGTCAGGTGGTTTTATTTCTCTTTTACCCATTTTCTGCATTTCCTTGGCTCTCAGCTTGCAAGATGCACACATGGCATCCAGTCTAAAAATAGTTAATGCAGGAGTACGGGTGGATGGTCTAAAACTCTGGCAAATCGAAGCCACAGACAAGCAGTGGCTGAGCTGCTAGGCCCTATCTCGGCTCCCTTGGGTTGTGCCCCTCCTTGGCTGCAAGGGTTTTGTCAGGCAGAGAGCTTGGCCAAGAAGTGTTTTATCAGCCGGTGCTGACTCTGCCTGTCATTACCGGACCAGGCTTTCTTTCAGCAAGGGAGGACGGGGTGCAGGAACCCAGAGCAAGATGCCAGGCTTCTCCCGCACTCGTGTGGGGATGTGATGCTGGTGAGCTCAGCTCCCTCGTGATCCTTCTCCGACAGGTGCTGTGCACAAGGGTGGTGTCTTCATCCTGGTGATCAGTGTTCACAGATGAGAGTCAGCCTGCAGCCGACATCCAAGGGAAATGGAGCCTTATGGCAAGGCGCCCGCTTCCCTCTCCCTCTGCGCCCCAGCCCTCTCGGTGCCAAAACGCTGTTCTGTGTCACCGTCTCATGAACACTCAGCAGTCGAGCAGCCGGTTCCTACTCACGGGCCAAACCTTTGATGCACGAGTGATTTTTCCCGTGCAAAGCTGCATCTGCATGAGCGGAGGTGGGTCCCAGACTCTATAAGGGCGACCAGAGCCCCTATACCCACTGTTTTCTTGGAGTTATCTTTCTCAGGCCCTCTTTGCTCAGGTCCCAGGTAACCTGAATGTGGCTCAGTAATGCTCAAGTTTGAGGTGGACTTTGAAAAGTAGCTCTCCTTGAAGGAGCAACTTCCGCGTTTGCTGAACTCCCTGTGTACCCCGAAAAACTTCTCCCCGTAAATGCTTTTCCATCTTGCCCGTTGCAGGTGTTTGTTCGCATTCCTCCATCCTGCTCGCTGCATCTGCTTGTAGGATGTACTGTCTCATGCAGCTGCATCTCGTTCTCATTGGAAAGATCCTTGCCCATTTTCCCAAGGCTTGAGGATGACTTTTCCCCACCCCCCATCAAAGTGTCTTTATTGTTTAGTCCTGTATTAATGGTGCTTGGTGCCCATTGCCCAACCCTGCTTGTGTGTTTCTAGCTTTGATTAGTGAGCCTTCTGTGGCTACTTCATTTGAACTACCTACTCTATGCAGAGTTGAACACTTTACCTACAGTAATGCCCAGTCTTTTCTATGATGATGTGGGTGCTGTAGTATCGGCGGCTGTAGCAGTCGGTAAAGCACAGCCCAGAAGTAAAAATGGTTTATTGAATTGCTGTGGCCATCTGATCCCAAGTGCTTTATTTTTCTTTGCCTGTGGTAGTGGAGAAGCTCTGGGCCCCTCCATAATTGGGAGCAGGGACTTGATTTTTAGCAGAGAGGCCACCTAGCATCCAGGGATTTACTTTCCCCATCCTGGGGACAGACTGTCCAAATCAACCAGTCCTAATCCTTTAGCAACAGCAGCAAAACTCTCTGGAGATTTTGCACAAAGCATGCTCCTGTCCAGGGATGCAGGGATCCTTTCGCTGCCGCTGTTCCTCCTGGCTGCTGGGCTAGGATGGGGTGCTAGGATAGGAAGCAGGGACAGGGGCTCATCTGAGGCCTGAGTCCCGCAGGGATGAGAAGGCAACGGCTCGACTGAGAAGCAGATGGGGTAAGAGTCAGGCTGGGGGTGGGGAGGAGCGGTCTGGCACAAGGAGCCTGGGGGGGTTGGGAGCTGCCGGGAAGTGTGCGATTGACACTGGGGGAGGTATAGGATACATGTCATCGGGTGTAGGATATATGTCATCATGTCCTGAAAGACGTATCCCCAAAGTGCCGGGTCCACACAAAAGGGGACCCTTAAATCCAGCAACTTTGGGACACTTGACAACCTCACCGGGGCATTTGGTGTTGTTAAAGGACTGTGGGTCTTGGGAGGTAGGTATCCCAGCACAGAGCCTAGCAAACACATTAGGTAAGTGCATAGGATTCAGTGGTAAGGAAGGACTGATAGTCTCTTCCCTGCATCCCCGGTTCTCCTAGTCCTCTCTCAGATAGTCTCCATCCCGTCCTATTGCATCCTCCCCGCCCCTGACCCGGGTGGCCCCTCCATCACGCTGCTCCCTGACGGTAAAATCGTCTCCCAGCAGCTGCTGCTCCTCCCAGCACAGACCTCGGGGCTGTGAGTGACAGCTTCTGGGGGAAGCATTAGCAACTGCCAGCAAGAAATACTCAGCACATCCCGGTGCTGGCAGCAGCTGCAGCAGTAAGCAGAGACAGGAGCGGGGATGGGGAGGGAAGGAGCCGTTTTCAGGATGGAGAGGTGGATGGGCTGGAGATCAGCGCGTACATGGCCTCTCCAACCATCTGCTGTCCCTTAGGAGAGAGGAGGTCAGCGTTACCTGTATCGCCTATAAGCTAGAACCTGACTGCTGGAGTCCGTGGAAATCCTCCCGCCGACTGCTTGGCACTTCAGATCCGCTCCGTTGCCCCTATATCCACCCCTAATGCACATCTGGTGATGTGCAATCGAATGCAAAACCCGTCTTGGGCATCGAGTTGTCAGCTCCCATCCCTGCAGCTTTAGGAGACAAGCTCTCGTGCAGGCCTGGCCTGGGACCGGGGCTCTGAGAGCTTTCTGCGGTGCGAGCAGCATGATCCCTTCCTGCTTGGCAGCAGTGCAGTGGGCGGCACAGCGCCCTGTGCAGGGAGCAGCACACAGCCCACGCACCCTGTCAGTCCCGCTCCTGCCTGGGTTATTTCCCCTTTCGCTCGAATGTCTGCCCCGTTGGCAGGGGATGTTTGGGAAGGGTGCAGAGTGACGCTTGCACTGAGGGTGGCATTTGTCCTGAGGTCTGGTCCAGCACAGCTGCACCCTCGGGGTGGCATATTATCTCCAAGCTCCCACAGTCTCCAGGCTGCAAGGGCTACCCCACCACAGAGAGTAAATCTCCTAGGCATGGCTGTGGCACCTGATCAGTGGTCCTTTTGCACAGTCCCCCTC